GTGATGGTTCGCCTCGCTTGCTGAGACGGAGGACGACGTCTGCAGTCACGGAAGGGCGACAGACACCCGGATTAGGATTGGATGGGAACATCGTGCACAGCAGTGTGTCGGGGATGGGTGAGAACGGCGGTGACCCCTCGGTGTGTCAAGGACACTTTGATGACACCTCCGTGTGTCAGGAGTTCATATAGGTATGTCTCGGTCTGGGGACAATAAGGATACCATGGGTATCAGGGTTGGTACTGCACCTCGGTGATGCCGTGCGTCAGGACTGAATTGATAGACCGATGACTACAGCATTCCAGGATTTCAGGACGGGGTGGGGACGGCGATGGCGCCATGCTTGTGTCAGGAGTTCAGGACGGACAGTAGACAGACGACAGTGATGACACCCCGTACTGAGACGGACTGTGTTGTAGCTACATGGGGGTCAGAGCTGACTCACCCGACCGTCCCGACTCAGCCGGCTGACTCACGCTAAGCCCGACTCCGACCGATGAGCTCAGCTGTCTGAGGCATTATGACTTCCGCCGGCCCCAGCTATAGCCTCAGTCTCAGCCTGCCCGACCCTGGCTCCATAACACGGCTCGTCGGCGATTGTAAGGCCGGCCAGTTTCGAGTCTGTAAGTCAGCGTATCGTGACAGAGACACCAGATCTAGAGTAAGGAGCTCAGCTGAGCACTGAGCTCCTCCCAGCAATAGCTGAGCACTATGCTCAGTGAGCCAGTCCAGTGCATTGAGAAAGCTTACACTAGCCCAGTGCATGAAGCTCAGGATGGCTCAGGCCGGCGCACTAAGCTCAGTGAGCCAGTCTAGCGCAGACAGACCTGTGCAGTGTGCAGTGTGCACTAAGCTCAGTCCAGAACATTGAGCTTAGACCTGCCGAGCGCACCAAATTCCAGCCCAGCGCACTTATGTATGGGGCCAGCCCTGCCCTGCCCAGTGCAGTGCGGTACCATAGAGTCGTCCGAGCCCGTACCGAGCGGTGCCCATAGTCACCCTCCGGCTGAGGTGCCCGCAAACACCGGGCTGTGTACACAGCTGGTCCCAGCCAGACGCAGTGCCACTCCGAACGAACGGTGACTGTTCATACACTCCGAGCCCCCTATCGGCACTCAAAGCTCCGTGCCGACACTCTGAGTTCCCTGTCAGCACTCAAAGCTCCGTGCCGGCACTCTGAGCTCCGTCCCAGCACCATGAGTTTCGTGTCAGAACTGTGAGTCGTTATCGGCACTTCCATTGCAGTAAAGGCACTCCGGGGCTTCTTGTCAGCATTGCTAGCTGCCGACAGTCTATGAGTCACACATAGGCACGCAGCTTTGTGCCGTCGATGGGAGTGTCGCATCGAAACCATGACTGGTCGCGTATCGGCTCAGAGTTCCCCGCCAGCACTGGTGACTCGTGTGTCGATACCTACATATAAGCTGCATCACTCTCGACACTCCGAGTTCGGTTTCGGTTGTTAAGGATTGCTGCCAGCAGTCATAGGATCGTCTCGACACTGATGAGTGTGGCGTTGGCGTCTCGTCAGGCGCTGGACGCTCCGCGTTTCGTCTCTCGTTAGGCGCTTCGCATCCCTCACGGGTATCCCTTTGGCCTCATGGCCGGCGATCGCTGACCGTATGGAGGTCGAATGAGAGACGGTAGACGGTGACGAGGATGTTTATCCCGCAGTGTCACCGTCTCATTTAATTTCGATCTCATAGAGTGTCCCGTGGTTGGATGTGGCAGTCACCAGAAAATGGCTCCCTTTTGGACATAAACTTTAACGGGAAATGGAATTCATACGCACAGCTCAAACAACTTACGGACAGGAGACGAATCTCCATTAATTGTCCGGCTAGCCCACCTATGTCGCCACTCGGCTATTCAATCTACGTGCTGATGTGGGCGTGGATAGTACCTTTGTCGTCGACTCTGGTGCAATTTATAATTTGAACCCGGCCTGGTTCCGGTGCTTCGGCCGGCACCTGTGTGTATGAGCGTTACCATGGCGACGCGTGCTCAAACATTTGGCGAGCCAGCCATGCGTCATTCGGGCTCATTCATTACGCTATTTACAACATTGTGCTATTACGGAGGGACCAATTTCCAAACATTTCCCTCGTATGATAACGAAGCGGCGCTTTGCGGCGCGGCGCAGTGTTGCCAGGTCGAGTGATGCCAATACCTCCAGAAAATGTTGTAAAAACCTCTAGAAACCTCTGTTCCATTGCCGCTGATTATAAAGTATATATACCTACCTCCATACCTACCTCCGTATCACAAACCGTGGCGCCGTTTCAAAGCACGCTGCCATCCGCTGCTAGCGCGTGATGACATCATCAAGTCCATTGCTCCAACACTACCAAAGGGTCTGTTCCAGTCGCACTTCCTAACACCTCTAAACTCCTCCAAGATTGCTTCCCTGTTCCAGTGTCAGCTCTAGCCCCTACAAATCAAAGGAGGGCCCTGCTCCAACCTCCTCTATCTTGCCCTTGGAGGAGTTTAGATGTGTTAGGAAGTGGGACTGGAACAGACCCAAAGTGTGACGTCAGCGCGCTGGCAGCAGCTGGCAGTGGGCTTGGAAACACCCGGTTGTATCCCCAATCAAGATAATTCACTCATCCTTCGCATGCCTTTGCATTTGTCCACATAACATAACTTGGTGGACTTGGTGCCCACCGTGGGCACCAGGTTTACATAGCCTTGGTGCCCACGGTATATCGAGAACTTTTAGCTGCAGCCGGCGGCCAGAGCCTCAATAGTGAACAAGCCAAAAGTAGGCTTATCGTTTCCATCAATCTGTAAAAAAGTGTGTTTAAGCATGCAATACTTAAAGATAATAACATGAAATTAAGTACCTAAATAGTTCTCAAGAGACCTTGATGCTAATTGTCTTTTCTGGGATTTTCAGATTACCTCTAGAAAACCCTCTAGAATCCGGCATTTTTCAAAAACCTCCAGGAGCCCCGAAACGCTCCCCTAAAACCTCTAGATCTGGAGGTTTACCTCTAGACCTGGCAACACTGGCGCGGCGTGGCGCAGCGCGCGGCGCGCGGCGGCGGCTCGGGGCTCCGGCGGCGGCGCCGTGTCGGTGGCGCCGCCTGGCGCCGGCCGCCGCCGGACCCTGTATTGATCGGCGCCGCTCCGGCGCGGAGGGGAGCCGCCGCCGCCGCAGTCCGCCCGGCAAGATAAACTCGCGGCGCGCCGGCGGCCCGGCCAGCGCGCCACCTGAGCTCGGCGAGCGCACGCGAGGGTGGCCCGGCGCCGACCCCGGCCCCGGCGCCGACCCCGGCCCCGGCCCCGGCCCCGGCCCCGGCCCCGGCGGTCGGCGCGGCGCCCCGTGGCCCGGCAGTCGGAGCGCACGCATAGACGGCCGCCGGCGAGGCACGGCGCCCCCTCAGACGTGCTCCATATGGTCTGAAAAGGCGCCCTGCTGCACGGCGCAAATAGTAGGCACGCTGTGAGTGCAACCTCAGATGTTGGTCTTCTGCGTGCCTTATGAGCTTGTGTCAAGAATTGTCAGGAAAGTTGTTCGAAAGCATGTCCTTAGGAAAACGTTCACTATACCTAGAGACAAGTACCTAAATGCATAGGGCATAGGCATACCTAATTTCACCAAAACAATCATCATTCAGCGATGCCTCTGGATGCCTATCGGCCGTGGTCACGTTGTGACTAGATTCGTCGTTACTTTTTCTGAAAGACGTATCCGTATGGCATTCAATGAATTAAAGTAAGATTTGACATTTTGCGAGTGCTAAGTGTACCTACCTAATTAAAAACGTTCGCAGAGTGTAGCTTTTCCTTGAATTGAAAAAATGACCCACCTCCTTCATTACTTTTTTTTCTCGGCCATGATGTTTAAACGGCTGCTTGAAGTTTTATAAATATGTTTTCAGCACCAATGAAATTTCCTTTCACGCCCTATTCATACGTCCCGAGTCCATATCCATGGATGCCATTTCTGCCCCAGGACCTCAACACTGGGTCTCCTTCACTGCACTACTGCCACCTACATGACGTGAGCCCTCCTGAACCCCGCCACCTATCGACAATATGTGAAACTACAGTAGGCACCACTCGCACCAGCAGCGTCGGCAAATCGCCCTGCGATAACCGATAACCTGCTGCTATCCTCGGGACTCGGAACACGTCCTGCCGCTCGATCGATTCCGCCATAGGAAAAACTTCAACTGAATATTCCTTCTTTTAGGGGGACGCTGCCCTTTTGACAGAGGCTCTGTACTCCATCAGTAAGGTCGTCTTGTCCTTCCGTGATTTACCTATCTTGCCGTGATTATTCCATCTGCTGTCTGTGTGGAATGCAGACATGCTTGAGTCGTTACAGCTCAAAGTAGCACTACATTGTGGCTTAGTCAAGATCTGAAAACACATTTCTAGAGACTCTTTGGTTTTGGAACATGAAGTCCAACTAAAAAAGCAACGACCGATAAACAGCGACCGATAGTCCCACTTTGGACAACTTCGCTTATGAGAGCCGCTCAGATAACATTCCGTATTTGCTGAGCTATTTGCTCTCAGTCTCTATCTGCGAGAAGAGAAACGCACAGACCAAACAAACACTGGTGTGAAAACAGCCACCCCGACCTACTACGCTCGAACCCCGGCGCCCCCGCCGGCCGCCTCCGCCGCCGGCGGGGTTACGTTTTACCGACACTAGTCAGGTTTCCGATGAGTCGTACTCGAGGCTTCCCAGGCTCAGTCCGCTATTTCTGGCACAGCTCTGTCCAACCAATGTCACACCTGTCGGCTGTCGCCCTGTGTCCCATCCTCTCCCCTTCGACCAACTCTCTCTCTCTCTCTCTCTCTCTCTCTCTCTCTCTCTCTCTCTCTCTCTCTCTCTCTCTCTCTCTCTCTCTCTCTCTCTCTCTCTCTCTCTCTCTCTCTCTCTCTCTCTCTCTCTCTCTCTCTCTCTCTCTCTCTCTCTCTCTCTTCCCTCCGACCAGCTCCCGGCTCACTCGCCGCCCCTCGTTCGTCTCCGCCACACCCGGAGCCGTCAGGTACAGTTTATTCTACATATCTCCAGTGAAACACCGCCACAGACACTACAAAGTCACGCGCGTACACACGACACCGCGTGCCGTCACCGAGAGGCGGCGTCCCGCGCGTCTGGCCCTCTGTCCCGGGCAGAGCGAGGAGGCTGGATGGGGGGACTGCCGGACAGACCCGCCCGCCGACCCTGGTGACACGACACATCACACGCGCAGCCACGCGAGCGTACGCACGCACAGACGCATCCAGAGCTATGAAAGACTCGCGCGCTCAGGCCACTGCTGCCGGCTGGCCGCCCGGCAGCGCAGACGACCCAGGTGACCTGGGGCGACCCCGAGTGACCTGACCTGACGTACGACCATGGGTCAGGAGTCAGGACCTACGGTAATCTTATCCGACCTCGAAGGACTACAGATGACCCTAAAGATACAGACGCACCGGTCACTTCTACCGAGACCTAGCCGGTGGCTCCGGCTGTTTTCGGGTGACCCCGGGTCACGGCAGGTGACCTCTGTTGACTCCGGCTACCCTCCGCACCATTCGGCAGTCCATTCAGCTCACAGCACCCGCACCTACGACGCTCCACGTAAAATATCATAAACCTCTAAAAGGAGCCGAGTATAAATAAATAAAACTCTATGCCACCCGCCCACAATTGTATGATGCCCGCTCCACGAAATGCGACTAGTCCAAGCCGAGAGAACCGACGTCCACCGTCCACTCTAGCCTCAGCCCGCTCTCCAATACACCACTCCGCACAGACAGACAGACAGACAGAGACAGACAGACAAAACGAACACGACCACGAGTGGGGCGGGCAGCGCGGCGAGTGGGGCGGGCAGCGCGGCGAGTGCGACCGAGATCCCGGGGGGCGGGCGCAGTTCGCCCCCGGCCAAAAACAGCACTAGCAAGCGTCGGGAGCCGCGGAAACGGAAGAAAGACGACGGCCTTGAGGCGCGGTCGGCCGGCCGGCGGACGGCGACCTGGCGACCTTGTGTCGCTCCCACCGGCCGGTGCCGCGGCGGCCCAGAAGTTCCGGGTTGGTGCGTCCGCGCCAGTCCGTCTCTGGTGAGTGAACTCCTTCGATATTGTCACCGGCCGCCCGCTCACAGTCTCTCGCTCTATTGTCGCGGTTATAGTAACACATCTCCGACGGGCAGCCGCGGTGGTCGGCAGGCCCCCACGAAATGCCCGCTAAGGCATTTGTGGTACCGGGTGCACGCCGCGCGGCCCGTGACGGTAATCCGAAGACAGCTCCCAGTCTGCCGGCTCTACGGACCTCACCTATTGTCCGGGGACATCCCCAGACCTACTCGCGGCACGGGACTGTCCCGATCAGTCACCGCCGGGGACTCCCGTCCCGAACGAGCGCCAATACGGCACGGCCAGCACCAGTGACCTACCTCAGTGGTAGCCGGTACTGACACCAGTCTACTGCACCACTGTTGGGCACCACTGGTCGGCACCAGTCACCAGAAGAGACCCCACGGCGACGAGCGTTCACCGAGCCCGCAGGCTGCTGTTGGCAGGCACTGACGTCGCACTGACGTCAAAACAGCATCACAATGACGTTATCCACAATGACGTTATCAGAGCATCCCCTGACACCCTGCCGCCTCAGCCGAGATGGGTGTGGGGTGACGACTGTGGACCGAATGCTCGTCCCTGGTTCGCCCCTCCCGGCGCTCCGACAGAGCTGCACTCATCACTGGGGTCTCTCCACCATCTCAGTCCTGTGACGTTATACACAGAGTTGCGGCAGCGGCGCCACCTAGCTGGTCTCGTAGCTGGAGAGGAGCGCCGAGTCTACTGGCTCCATACAGCTGGGGCAGGTGAAGCTGCGCATCAGCCAGTCGTCGATACACTCAGTGTGGTAGGTGTGCATACAGGGCAGGTAGCGCACCCGCTCCCCCACCGAGAACTCAATCATACAGATGACGCACCTGTGGGATACGTGGGGGGGGGGGGGGTCAGACTGGTCCTCTGACGACGCAGGACGAATCGTAATGGACCACTCGCCCGACTGCATAATAGATGAGGGACTTCACAACACGCTGACGCCACACGAGTCTCACAAAGGACACGTTACGTCACTGATCGCGTACATAAATACCACAAACGAAATATCAGCTATATCTCAAGATAAAAAGACGAACGAATGCAAAGTTGACGAGCCAAACTCACTCTTTGTTTTTCCGGGCGGCGCCGTCGTACGTTCCGGAGGGCAGGTGCTGGATGAGTCCCATGCGTTTGGCGATCTTCACCTGCTCCTCCTCCGTGAGCTGAGCGGCCGTGCGCACCACGCTAGGTGACGGGTAGTAGACGGCCGCCCGCTCCGGCTGCTGCTGCTGGTGATGGTGGTGGTGCTGGTGCTGTGGTGCAGGATATTCACCAGTCAGGGCATCACATAAAGGGTTCATGGGGTTCAGAGACACAAGATGAGCCACTCTAACAACATGACCAAAAGGGAAAGGGTTGAAATTGAGAGGAAGGGAAGCATTATAAAAAAATGAGTCAAACCAGTAAGAAGGGAAACAGGTATTGAGTAACGAGTAAACGAAAAAGAGCAAATGGATAGGCTACATAGAGGATGTAAGCCTGAAACTGGTGTGGATAATAAATAATGTGGATGTAGAGAAAAGTGAGATAAAAATGAGTAAGAGGTAGAAGAGCCATGAGAAAGACAAGATTGAGTAAAAAATAAAAATAAGGAGAATGCAACTATGCACTTGATGAACATAGTTGGAGGGGTCATTGGGGAAAGACAAAAGGAAGAGGGAGAGAGGGACAAAGTGTAAGAGAGAAAGAGGGAGAGGGAGTGGGAGGGAGAGGGAGAGAGTGAAACAGTGATAAACTTGATAAGTCCCTTTATCATTATGTCACTTAGGCACTTCACACATTAAAACAGTGAAACAAAAACACATCAACTGAAACACTCAACTAATGCTTGATCATGATAAATTAACTGATCAATTTATTCTTGTGCCACATCAACATGGGTATTTATGAGGTGGCAAACTAACCAAGCTTAGCATATCCAAAACTTAACTGCCAATAACTTCATACCACATTTCTTTTCCACTACACATGTGGCATTTGGTCAAGACACCACTTAATGCTCTGACAATGAGAAATGCACAGGTACATACCACAGACTTGAAAATACACATTGTAACAATGGATCAAAATCATCATTTGTAGAGGTAGCTGGTAGGCATGTGTAAGTGTGCCGGTAGGCATGTGTAAGTGTGGATCAATTATCTATTGTCAACTGAAAGCAAACTACCACTAAGTTCAAAGTTCCGAAGAATGTGACATACTCCAAAATCAAAGAATGCTTAGGTTGCAAATGAGCTTTAAAGTTAAATGATAAATAATCCACCTTAGAGCTCATAAAACATGCAAAGTATGGAAATAAGCTTACATAAATGACACACATGACATATGACCTTGAACATCAACAGCATGCAAAGATCTCAGCAAATTACCTCAGGATCATACACAGGTGGTATGCCAAGTTGATCTGATGATGCAGAAAATCTTCCTGTATCTGAACCAGGCAGCAGAGACATGTCGTCTGCTGCTTGAGCCTTCAAACAATTGCCCATTGTCACGGTCCTATGTCATACGCACAAAGGAACAACGAGGTCGACTTCTGGCCGATAATTGTAATGAAGATGACTAGTATAGGAGTTGGGAGAGGCCTCCCACTCCCAACTTATGTTGTGACTCCTATGACAATCTTTGGTGTAGGTTACAGCAACTTCAGTCACTGGCCGAACAAAGAACTAGCAGCGGATCACTGACATCAGCCGCGTGAGACACCTTCCCCGTCCCTGAGCACGAGCTTTGTGTTGTCACCGCGCGCCACAATGGCCCTGTTTTCGCTCTCATGAAAACAGCTGATGTAGTACGCAGACAAATAGTACATTGAACATCACGATTTTTTTAGACGTTTATAGTGTATTTAAAGTGTCTACACAGCTGATTGAGTAACGTAAATGAGCGATCTTATTTTGAGTTTATCTTGAGGTAAAAATCAGTTAGCATATGTAATAAAATAGTATGCAGCGCGGATGAACACTTACGTGTTTCTTGTAAATAGAAGAGGAACCAATTTCAAGGTTACTGAGCGTGACGTAACGGACCACCCCAGGGCCCGGTCCCCGGATTTTGCTATTTTTTCTTACTAAATGGTGCTCCGGCATATATATCTCTGCATTCACGCAGACTCTGCGCGCGCCTACAGCCATCATATCACTTGCGCGTGCATGCAATCCATCTCGTAATTCAAATGTCATGAAAAAATATAGTCAACGTGGAAAAAAGAGGCCGTGGGGCTTCCGGCTTCGTGGGCTCTGGGAGTACCTACCAGTGCCGTATATTCGCTAAAAGACGAGTAGCACACAAAACTGCAGTGCAAACTGCGATGATCTAGAAGGCACACCTTTTGTGTACGAGCCAGCGACATACATTACATACGAAATAGCAAACACTGACAGATGCCTACTACCACCTCGCCAGTCGCACCCAGCACCTCGATCGGGGCAGTTCAGATCGACGCCACGGCAGGTGAACATTGCCACATCCATCCCGACATCGGACTGCCACGTACTGGACGGACTGTCGTCGCTGACCAGGACTGGTTACGGTCGTATCAGCGAGCAACACGAACGACACGAAACTAGAGCAAAACAAACATAGACCAGATCGCCGGCCAACCCTCGTCCGGAGCTAATTGCGATATTCAATACCTTTTCATCGAGCTGGCTCCTAATCATTCAATATATCACGGAGCACATCACGTTTCAGATCCAATTTTATAAACATAAAAAATATACACCGCAGCTAGCCATATCTTTCGTAACTATCGTAACTATGATATACTCGTATGTACGGTAATTCGCAACGATTCCTTTGCCCTTTATCGGCAGTTTCGGTTATCATTCTCTGCCACGGTTGTAGCTGTAGGATACCGCATATAAGATCGCTACCATCTAATTCATTGGTCTTTTTAGCGCTAAAAAGTTCATCAAAACATCACAGACAGCCATGACGGAGGCTTGAGATCGGTATTTGATAATGCAATCGACTTATTCAGGCGCCACGCAACATAACACGGTGATTAAAGTGAATCAGTATACTCGTATCATAGTTGTGCGGGATTAATATGAGATACCTAGCACATGTCTACATTCTTCACGATTGTGGGCACTCATGATGACTCAGCTGATGGCCCTTGACTATTTCCCGCTCCCGGGTTACGATCAATACAATATGTTAAGTGCTGTGTGAGTCATGTTATCACACTACCGCAAACAGCCCAGGCACCGACGGATGAGCAGCATCTTATCGCGGCAAACCTGTCCAATCACACCAAACATGTCCCCGGAGCTTATTCATCCTCCCTCCGCCCTCCACACCTCTCGCTTCTCCCCTCCTCTCTCCCTCCCGGTTCTACATCAGCGCGCAGACCTCGGATTTGACCCGCAGGCGGCTGGCGGTGGGCGGTCGCGGCAGTGCCGCCGCCGTCTCCGGCCGGGGTTTGGAGATCTGCGCACGCACCACCGACGAGGCCTGCTCCATGTCTGCGCGAGTGAGCCGCGCGCCCACCGTCACCGCCGCCAGGTGCTGGAACATCTGCGCCACCTGAGGAGCACGAGAGAAGAGAGAAGGGGAGGTCAGGAAGCGTGGGGTGTCGTCCTTAGATCGGTGACCCCCGGTGAACTCTGGGTGCGGATAAAACACGAACCGAATATGTCGAGCGAGTTTCTCGCAAAACACTATCGAAGAAAATAATTTAAATGTCCGTTGAATTTGTGTAAAATCAATCATCTGTAGTAGATGCTCGAATGACAATCGGTTTTACAGCTGCGTCCGTAAGTACTAAGTAGCCGGTTATGAAGAGCAACGTTTGTCACAAGTCTCCTGAACAAACCAAACTACCTTTAAGAAGATGACCATTAACACGAGTTTGATCGCCGATAAATAGTACTGTGGAACAGCAATTGATCAACATTCATTCGACCGTCTGAAACTACTCTCACTTCGCTACATTCAGTCCTATGAACTTTGAACATAAACAATCAGATAAGAGCAGCAACGTCCGAGAAAAATATGACGCCACTCCTTCCGTGGTCACAGGTCCTCACACATGCCAGGGGCCCCCAGCCAACCGACGTCGGTATAATACGCCATAAGGGACTATCGAACAGAACTCACGTTCTCGCCGCTCTGAGCCGAGACCAAGAATGACATCAGGTCGTTTTCCGCCGCGAAACTCTTGTGTTTGTCCACCCGGACCGCGCGAATATGCTCCAGGTCACCTGCGGGAACACGAACAATGTCAAAGGTCAATTAGACGCCCGCAAAGACCATGAAATACGGAACAGTTACCTCGCCTGGATCTCGGAGAAACACGAGCATCATTTAATAAAACGAGGGAGCTGCCGTGCCCCGTGGCGTTGTTAGTCTGAGGCTTTGATGATAATATGGGCAAGATGGGGCGATTATTGACAGTCTGTGTTACAATCTGAAGCAGAAAAAAGATCTATGGAAAGGCTTTCGCCTTTCGCAATGATCGTCCCTTGGTGCCAACGTGTCTAACCTTTGTTGGCCACCAGGATGCGGCGGAGGGCGCGCGTCTGATGTCGCGTGGCGTCATTGACGGCCATCAGCCAGGACTCGAGGTTCTCAAACGACGTGTAGTTGCTGATGTCGTACACGAACAGCGCCAGCTGTAACAGGCGCCACAAGTGACGTCATCTGTGCAGCTCAGAGCACAGCACGGAACTGACTGAAAATTATAACTCAGTCAATAACAGACCGATGACTCGCAATAAAACGTTCCCTATGAAATACGATCTGCCCAATGCCCTAAGACGGGTAAAAAGGTCTGGATAAATAACAAATAGGTATACAGAGTTTTGGCCAAATTATTGGAACTTCATGTTTGAAAGCAGACTACACAAGACAAATATCTATCGCGAGCCAGGAGTTAACCGTCTACCGTATTATTGGTGAATCGATCTCAGAGCTGTCGCAAACCCTGGACCCTTGAACGCGGCGTCCCGGGCTACGATCGACATTCCTCATCAGTTGTTTACATAAAACTGCGGAAATCACGACCTACATGAGGACAAACAGGGCGACACCACTACCAGTACCCTTTGTGACGTCACTATGACGCCATCACGTCACTATGACGCCATCACGTCACTATGACGCCATCGGAAACGGAAGACTGATCGGCGAACAGAACAAACACGACAGCGGAAGCGGCACATGGACACTCAACAGGCGTACAGCGCCGAGTACAGCCTCTTACGACTGAAAGATTGCCAGGTGAACGTATACAAAGAATAGGTTGACGGAAGGCAGATGTCTCTAGGTGACAGTAAAAACTGGAATAGGCAGTCTTCTTTTAAAATGGTATAAAAACATTGATAAACCTAAAAAGGCGAACACTGCATCAATGATTTATCTGGAAAGTCCTATCTTGCATAACTCTCATCAACTTTGAATGGATACCAAAGTAGCAATTGTAAACTGATATTTTTCTTCAGACACGAATCTAAATAAACGGCACGTCATGAACGTCGCCATAATCATACGCGCATTTTGCGACGGCCACAGAAAACGTTTTAACCCGCGACCGCCTGGGGGGGGGGGGTCGGATCCGACCCCCCCTCCGTTTTTTTTTTTAATAACTCATGAACCACTTTCGCTATCTACTTGAAACTTGGCATACCTTCTCCCCCATCAATTTGACGTCTCCTGTGCAATTTTTAAGAAAAAAAAATCCAAATTTTTTTGAGATATATTGATTTTAGTGATGTAACTACATGGCGTTTTTAGTTAAAAAGTGGTAAATGTTTAAAAAATCGCCAAAAATCAGGGTTTGGAGCAAATTGCAAATTAAGGACATGAAAAGACGCAGCTCAACGAGCTCTTTAAAATAGCTATCTCGGATTTTCCATAAAATGCGTTTTTCATCCCTAAAAATTCAAAAAACTATATTTTTTGGAAAACAGCTAATAAAATCCAAAATTTTGGGAATTTCCAAAAAACCGGAATATATGTTGTAGAGCTCTATTAGAACATTAGATGCCCCAAATTTCAACTTTCTATCTTGATTTTTGACCCCCAAATTGTAAAAAATAGCTCCAACATGCATAGGGCATGGTGACGTCATAAGTATTTTCGTGAATTAGAGGCACTTCTGAACATCGCATGTAAAAACAAATGGCACCACTGGATTCCTGGGACAAAGCTCGTCTAGAAAAGTGCATTTTTATGTCAAAAATAAAAAGTTGAAAAATTGACTTTTTTTCTTAGCCCTCGTTTAGTTATGTATAGTATACACGATTTTTTATGCTTTCAATGCACACTTATCACCAGCACAGTGACTTGGGGTCACATATAACCATTACCATCGGATTCGGCGTGAAAAATAAGCCATAAAACATGTGTCGCACGCCCATGTAGCAGAAAGTGAAAACCGTGACCTTTCGTGATCTGACCTGACCTTGACCCGTGCTTAGTATGACCCCTATACGCACATGGTACCTTCACTAGGCCTTTGAGATCATTTTTGGTGAGTTTCGAGCAGCAGCTCTATCGATTCCGCTGTCCGTAAGCCGATTCATGCAAAACCCCTGAATTTGACCTTTGACCTGACCTTGACCCGAAAGCTGACCTCAATCTTAAAATCTTAAGAGTGCTTTGGGAAGGTCTCGTAGAGACCTTTCGAACGCCGCCTCGCGGGGCTCGATACGACCATTGGTTCTCGAGATAACAGGGGGGGGGGTCGGATCCGACCCCCCCCCCCAAGGCTGTCGTGGGTACGGAAATAGCCCAGGCGGTGCCGGGCTAAGCCCAGACACGTTTTAGTTGTGTAGGTGCTGTGAGCCATGCAGAGCAGATGTTTAGACAGATAACTTGGCCAATGTATTTATTGACAGGATCGAAAGAATTTATTTAGCGACAGGATCGAGTCTGAATCTTCGATCCATCGAGACCTTAAACACTGACCACTTTGTGACCGCGCAAAGCTCT